ATTCTATTTTACTATTCTATTTTCTATTATTTTCTGTTTTCTATTCTTATTCTGTATCCTTATTCTGTTCTGTATTCTATTCTTTTCTATTCTATGTTCTGTTCTATTCTGTTCTAAATTCACATTCCTAATTCACATTCTATTCTGTTCCTTATTCTATTCTATATTCTACTATTCTATTTTCTATTCTATTCATTCTAATTCTCTGAACTCTACTGTTATTCTATTCTATCCACGTTGTGTGACTGAGCAGAGTGTCAGAATTCAGGGTCATCACCTGAAATTAAAATCACAACTCATTCTGGACCACTAAACAGAATGATTTCTCATACAAAGGTTAAACAGTGGAACTCACCGCCACAGGATGGGATTCAGAAAGGGTTCGATTTAACAGCCATAATTGGGACCGCCACATCCATTGTTACAGCCAGGGATTGTTAAGGAGAGCCAGGCCTGATGTTACGGCCTATTTTGCCACAGGGTGTTAAGCCAATCATTGTGATTGTTAAGTGAATCATGCGGTCGTTAAGCAAATCGGGCTTTCCTCATTGACGGTCCTTGTGGAAAGAGAAGGCTGCAAATGGAGATTACGGGAGCCCAGGACAACGCAATTCTAAATACACACTGGTGCCCAAGCCCAAATTTTAATCCCCGTGACCGTGGGAATGCTCCCACGGTCATAAGTGTGAGGACCAGCGGCCTGGTTGTGGTGGCCATCTTGACTTTTTTGACTCACTCTGCTCTTGGGATCTGAGTTCTCTTTGAAATAAAAGATCCTTTTGATGTTTTCAGAGGCAAATCTTTCCTTCCAAGTTTTATATATTTATATTTTTTATATAATTCTAATCAAAAGGGTTTTATTTTAATTCAGACTATTTCAATAATTTCAATATTGCAGGTAGTCCTTGATTTACAGCGGTTACGGAGCCCAAAGTTTCCATTGAGGCGGGCTCAGCGAATTGGGGACCGTTTTACGAACCTTCTTACTATCGTTAAGTGAATCACTGCAGCCGTTTAGTATACCCCGGTCGTTGAGTGAATCCAGCTTCCCCATTGAGTTGGCCAGTCCGAAGGTCGCAAAAGGGGATCCCGTGATCCCCCCTTGAGAACACGGCAACCGTCATAAATACGAGTCAGTTGCCGAGCGTCCGAATTCTGATCGCGCAAACCTGGGGATGCCTCAAGTGGTCGTAAGTCTGAAAAATGCAAAGAAGTGGTAACTTCGAAATGGTCGCTAAACGGATGGTTTTGTAAGTCAAGGACTAACCTGTTATACAGTGTGTGTGTGTGTGTATGTGTATATATGTGTATATATGTATGTATTTATGTGTGTGTGTGTGTATATATAAATATAAATATAAAATGTTCTGATTGTGGAAAATAAATAAATCAATAAAAATAGAGAATCAATCTCTAGGCAGGAGGGGTTGGACTAGAAGATCTCTAAGGTCCCTTTTTAACTCTGTTATTCCACTCTGTTCTCTCTTCTGAGGTCCCCAGCCAGAAACAACAACTTGAAAACGAATCATAAACTGGGTGTGATCGACTCGTCGAAGAGCGGAACTCAAACCCGGGACATGGGGGGGCGGGGCTCAACCTAAGGCCACGCCCACCCACCCTAGGCCTAAAGCTTCCTGCCTCCTTCCTCCTCGCTTCCTTTTCCAAGGAATAATTCTCCATCGGCGCCCAAAATTTTGCCTGGGTCAAAACAAACCCTCGAAACAGATGTTTACAAACGTTGCTCTGCTGGCTGCCATCTTGACTTTTTTGACCTACCTTGGCCAAGAGATAGCTGGGTTAATGATTCCCCCTTGCTCCCCCCCCCCAAGGCGTCTGACATCTGGGACCCCTGACTTCAAGAAAGGCTAGAAATTTGTCAGACATGGGGTAGGGTCTCTTGCTTTGGCGGGCGGGCAGAGGGGGTTGGACTAGATGACCTACAAGGCCCCTTCCCACTCTTGATGATCTGTAACCTGGAAAATTGGGGAGGGGGGGGAAGATCCCCCCCCCCGCTCTGAATCTTTTGATGCGGGAGGCAGCCCAAAGGAAGTGCTGGAGCCCCCAGCCCCAATTCAGGGGTCAGAGAAGGCGGAGGGGGGGGCCTTGCAGGGGAGTCCCCTTGGCCGGCCGATGCTCTGGAAAAACCCTGGCAAATCTGTCCAGGGGTCAAGGGTCAGCCCAGGCCGGCCGCCGCCCCCCCCAGTGGGAGGAGCCCCCCTTTCCGTGCCTGGCCAGCCTCTGACGTGGCATAGCCCACGGATTTGGGGGTGGGGGGAAGAGGCTGCCCCGCCTCTCTCTGGAGAGCCCCCCCCCCGCTTGCTGGGAAAGGGGGTCCCCGCCTGGGTGGTCCCCCCTCCCTCCCTCCCGCACCCGCCCACTTCTCCGAGGCACGTCAGCAGGGAGGGGCAAGGAGGAGGGGCTGGCCGCTGGGGGAGGGGGTTTCAGCAGGGAGGGGCTAGTTGTCTGGGGGGGTCAGCGGGGAGGGTTTGATTGACGGGATTCGGCCCGGAGGGCTAGTTGTCTAGGGGGGCTCGTTCTAGGGGGGACTCGGCAAGGAGGGGCTGATTTCTGGGGGGGGGCTCAGTAGGGAGGGGCTGGCTGCTCAAGGGGATGGTGAGGAGGGGCTGGCCGCTGGGGGAGGGGTTCAGCTGGTGGGGGCTGGCCAATTTGGGGTCTCAGCAGGGAGGGGCTGGTTCCTCGGGCATCGCATTGCGGGGGGGGGGGGGGGGGGGGGGCGGAATCCAGACAGACCAAACCCCCAGACAAGGATCACCCACAAAACCCATTTCTTAAGTTGCATTTCTCAGCCCAGGTGTGAATGGAAGACAAGCCGGTTTATGTCTGGGCTGTGGATAAGAGCCCCATCGCCACCCCCTTAATGGAAAGATGGTTTCAACCCCCCCCGCCCCTTTTTGTGTGTGGGGGGGGGTCCTGAAGGACTTTGATCCTAACCGAATCTGAACCCTTTGACCAGCCAGTTCTGCTTCATCTTTGTTTGGGATCACAAATCGGACCACAAAAAGGACACAGGCACATAAATAGACACATACAGGTGTGTTTGTGGGGTGGGGCCTACAGAGAGGTCCCCAAACTTGGCCACTTTAAGACATGTGGACTTCAACTCCCAGAATTCCTCAGCCAGAAAACCTTTAAGACTTGTGGACTTCAATTCCGAGAATTCTTCAGCCAGCAAGTTGAAGTCCACAAGCTTCACTGGCTGGGGAATTCTGGGAGTTGAA